TCCCATCTCAGCCTCCTGATTAGGTGGGACTACAGGTGTGTGCCACTACACCTGACTAATATTTTTGTTTTTTATAAAGATGGGGTCTCACTGGCCGAGTGCAGTGGCTCATGCCTGTAACCCCAGCTCTTTGGGAGGTCGAGGTGGGTGGATCACGAGGTCAGGAGATTGAGACCGTCCTGGCTAACATGGTGAAACTCCGTCTCCACTAAAAATACAAAAAAATTAGCCGGGTGTGGTGGCAGGCACCTGTAGTCCCAGCTACTTGGGAGGCTGAGGCAGGAGAATGGCATGAACCCAGGAGGAAGAGGTCGCACCACTGCATTCCAGCCTGGGCGACAGAGTGAGTCTCGGTCTCAAAAAAAAACCAAAAAAGATGGGGTCTCAGTGTGTTGCCCAGGCTGGTCTCAAACTCCTGGGCTCAAGCGATCCTCCCACCTGGGCCTCCCAAAGTTTTGCTGGGATTACAGGCATGAGCCACTCCACATGGGCCCTCTTGTGATCTTCATCATTGTGCCAGGCTCTTCACATTCCATCCTCAGCATCCAGGTTTCCACCTTCTTGAATATGTATCACAGAACTAAGTCAATCTCTTGGAAGATTTGGTTAGCTCGAATTTCCTTCCTGAGACTCAGCCTTCTCATCTGTTCAATGGAGATTATAAACCTGACCCACTTTCCTCTAAGGTGGATGAGAATAAAGATCCACTGATAATAAAGATATAAAATTGCCAGCCAAGAGTGGGGGTCCCCTTTATACTCTGGCAGGAGGAAGAAGAAGGCTGAGGATGTTGAGAAGCCTCAGTTTCATCAAGTATAAAATGTGATAAATAACGTTGCATTTGGGATTTTTTTTTCTGTCGCCTAGCCTAGAGTGTGCTGGTCCAATCATAGCTTGATGTAGTCTTGACCTCTTGGGCTCAAGTGATGCTCTTGCCTCAGCCTCCCAACTTGCTGGCACCACAGGCATGCACTACCATGCCCAGGTAACTTTTATTTTATTTATTATTACTATTTTTAATAGAGATGAGGTCTCACTATGTTGCCCAAGCTGGTCTTGAACTCCTGAGCTTAAGTGATCCTCCTGCCTTGGCCTCCCAAAGTGCTAGGATTACAGGTGTGAGCCACTGTAACTGGCCTTATTTTTATTATTATTATTTCTAGAGATGAGGTCTCACTATGTTGCCCAACCTGGTCTCAAACTGCTAGGCTCAAGTGATCCTCCCACTTTGCCTCCTAAAGTGCTGGGATTACAAGTGTAAGCCACTATACCTGGCTGCATTTGGGATTGTTGAAAGACTGAAAAGAAAACTTAGATACTCTGGCATACAGTGGGCTCAGAAAACAATACCCTAAAATGAAGGCCTCAGCAGCAGCCTCAGAAGTAAAAAGTTTTTCTCCGACTCTCTCCTCCTGTCTCTCAGTCCCATTCTCCCCTGAGGCTAGCCATAGACACGAAAATCCCTCTTCCCTGAGGCAGGTCATAGAAACCAGAAGCCCTTTTCTCCAAAGCCAACCTACAAGCCTAAAAATATTACTCTGTTTTTCCCTCTGTCCTATCTGTAAAAACTGGCCACAAAGAAATTACCTGACCTACTGTGTTTGACTGTAGGTCATAAGACCCCCATTCCACAGAGCATCCTGCCCCATATCCAGAAGGAAGGAATGCATGCTCAGAGAAGCCAACAAGGATCTGGACAGGTCAGGCATGGTGGCCCATGCCTGTAATTCCCACACTGTAGGACGCCAAGGCGGGAGGATTGCTTGAGGCCAGGAGTTCAAGATCCTCTATGTGGCAAAAGTCTAAAGGAGAAAGAGACAGACAGCAACAGCTCGTCATGGAAAGTGTGGCTGAGGAGAAAGACATGAAAAAGGCTTCAAGAAATTTCCAATTTGAGTCTCAAAAGGCAAGACCCTGTTTCTACAAAAAATTAAAAACTTAACAAACTTTGCTGGGTGTGGTGGCACACACCTGTAGTCCTCGCTACTCAAGAGGTTGAGATAGGAGGATCTCTTGAGCCTGGGAGTTTCAGGTTACCATGAGGTATGATCACACCACTGCACTCCAGTCTGGGCAATAGAGTGAGACTGTGTTGCCAAAAAAAAAAAAAAAAAAAAAAACCTGGACAGACAGGGGCCTTAGGGATTTCCCCACTCATTGTACTCTCCTTACAGCATGCCGTCTTGTCCACTCATATTGCTATATGGCCTTCCATACTCTATTGACCATAAGCATTAAAATGGACAATTTTTTCTGTATCTTTGGGTCTTTGTTCTGAAGACTCTCATGTATACACATTAAAAACAAAATCATATGCCTTTTCTCTTGCCTCGTGCCAGTGATTTTTCACTGAATCTTCAGAGGGCAAAGAAGGGAAGTTTCCCCTTGGTTCCCCTAAGTACTCAAAACAATACTGGGGGCGGGAATGGTGGCTCATGCCTATAACCCCAGTACTTTGGGAGGCTGAGGAAGGATGATTGCTTGAGCTCAGGAGTTTGAGATCAGCCTGGGCAACATAGTGAGAACCCATCTCTATTAAAAAACAAAAAATAAAAAAAAGCAGTACCTGGGAAACCAAATTAGTAAGCAAAAGATGGCCTGATAGACATGGAAATGAGCACAGAAGCAGTAAAATAGTGAGCCCAGCAGGGTCATGATATTTACCACAAGCCAGGAGATTTACTAATCACTTTCTATTTTAGGAAATACTAATATATTTAATATTCATTCATTCAAAAAATATATGAGTGGCTACTATATGCCAGGCATTGTTCAGGGTGCTAGTCATATAAAAGTGAACAAGCGACAAAGATTCCTGCTCTCGAGCTTACATTCTACTATGCTAAAATGCAATAAACACATTGGGTGACAAGTGCCATTGAGTAAAATAAAGCCAGGTAAAAGAGAACAGAGATCCTGTGTGGATGAGGGTAGAGAACACCAGGACTACAGGCTAGATTTTAAGATTCCTGTTTATAAAGGAAAAAAAAAAAAAGCCTCAGAGTTGCCTAAGCTGCTTTCACTTGCCTTTTTTTTTTTCTTGGATATGGCGTCTCACTCTGTTGCCCAGGCTGGAGTGCAGTGGGTGGCATGGTCTTGGCTCACTGCAATCTCTGCCTCCCAGGCTCAAGCGATTCTCTTGCTTCAGCCTCCCGATTAGCTGGGATTACAAGCACCTGCCACCATGCCCGACTTTTTTATTTATTTATTTATTTTTGAGATGGAGTCTTGCTCTGTCTCCCAGGCTGGAGTGCGATGGTGCCATCATGGCTCACTGCAACCTCCACCTCTGGGTTCAAGCGATTCTCCCAGCTCAGCCTCCCAAGTAGCTGGGATTACAGGTGCCAGCCACCACACCTGGCTAATTTTTTGTATTTTTGGTACAGATGAGGTTTCACCATGTTGGCCAGGCTGGTCTCGAACTCCTGACCTCAGATGATCCACCTGCCTAGGCCTCCCAAAGTACTGGGATTACAGGCGTGAGCCACCCTGCCTGCCCTTTTATTTTTTTTTTGAGATAGGGTCTCAATCAGTCCCCCAGGTTGGAGTGGAGTGCAGTGGCCTGATCACGGCTCATTGCTGCTTTGGCCTCCTGGGGCTCAAGCTGTTTTCCCAGGGCTCAAGTGGTCCTCCCAGGCCTCAAGTAGTCCCTCAAGCTCAGTCTCCCCAGTCACTGGAACTACAAGCCTGCTCCACCACACCCAGCACATTTTCTGTATATATACACCTTTTTTTTTGTAGAGATGGGGCTCTCACTCTGTTGCCAAGGCTGGTCTTGAACTCCTGGGCTCAAGTGAACCTCCCATTTCATCCTCCCAAAGTGTTGGGATTACAGGCACAAGCCACCATGCCAGGGCCAAGGCTCTTCTCAACTGCTGCAGCAGACAGCTTGGTTCCTGCCTCTTTGCAGACAGAAGACTTGTGTCTCAGGCTCAATGCTTTGTCTCATAGAGTGCTGGACACACAAGAACAAATTATCTTTCTCTAGGTATCCATTTTTGGCTCTAGGCTCTCTGCTTCACAGGTGGATGGCGTGATGGGGAAGATGCTGTGGCCAGTGCACACAGGTAGGTTCAAATCCTACCTCCCTGTGGTCTTGGGCAAGCTGCTTAACCTCTCTGCCTCAACTTCGGCATCTGTATGTAACTTTTGTAAGTTTGTAATGAGGAGGGCACTTAACACAGAGACTAAGCCAAGCAGTAAATGCTTCCTATATTACTGTCTTCAGGCAACACAGTTGCTCAGTCATTCCACAGTCATGACCCCTTCCGAGGAAGCCTGTGGGACACTCTGACTCACATTGTAGACTACTGAGCCATGTCCCTTCTTCGGCTCCATTTCTGCTCCCTCCACTCCACGAGGTAGGCATTGGTGTTTCTGCTTTCCAGCTAGGGAAACAGAGTCAGGAGGTTAAGTGGTTTGCCCCCAGTGCCTCGCTAACAGGGCAAGGCACGGGGATGGGGCTGTGACTCCCAGGGCAGCAGCCCCCTCAGGGCGCAGTCTCATGGCCCGATTTCTCTCTGTGGTCCCAGGAAGGGGGTGAGGGGTGGCAGGGGGCCATTGGCTCCGCCTTCGCTTCGGACCCAGCCAGGCCTCGGGATGCTCCAGTCTTTACAGTGATGACCCGATGGCTTTCCTCAAAAGAACTTGGACCACTCTCCTCCAACTCCCTCCCACAGACTGCTAGTGATGCTTGTAAAGGTAAAGTGAGGCTGGAGCCAAACCGGGAACAAAGACACAAGGCAAATGGCAGTGAGAATAGTCTTTATTAGGACTCGCGGGCGAGGTTCCTCGGTCCAAAGGTGTGGGCCGAGGAAGTCACGCTGAGGGAGGAGGGTAGGGGCTTTTAATAGCACGAGAGGTAGGGAAGCTGGTTGTGCAAACAGGGCCTGGGGAGTCTTGAAACTACTAGGGCAGGAGTTGAGTAAGGGTCATGAGGAAGGGGTCTTTGGAAACTGTTAACCAAAACTGCTGTTTACGAACTTGTGGAATGCAGGTGAGCTGCAGGTCATCGGGGAGTGTGGTTGCCCAGCCAGAACTCTGACGCATGTAAGTCTGCGGGTGTGTACAAGGGTGAAGGGAGTCTTTAACAAAAGGCCTGTTACGTGGGGTAATGCCGCCATGTTGGGTCTAGATTCCTGCCTAACAACGCCCACACCCATTTCCCCCTGACCACTGTCTAGACCCCCTTCGGCCCCTGCCAGCAGAGCTGGACCGCAGCTGGGACTCAGACCGCCGTAGCCACGCCTACCCACGCAGGAAAGTGCGAGACATGCAAATTAGAAATGGCGCTTCAGCCACGGGGCAAAAACCGATCTGAGAATTCACTTGAAAATGTAGCCAATAAACCATGCCCAACAGCTTGCTGTTTTCAGCAGGCCTGTTGAGAAACAAAGGGAGTTCTCAATTGCCCCTGTCGTGGCTCACTGTGACTTGAGTGTAATATGCGTGACAGGAGGGCAATAACGGCGCCAGCCAAAATGCTAACGTTACTAAAATTTTGTGGCCTTTTAGTTCATGTCATGTGTAATTTTGTGTTTATACTAGCCTACTGTTTATGTACCTTCTCTATCCAAGGATGCTGTGTCAAATGGGCCTTTGGAATATGAGAGTTAGAATAGAAGGTTATATAGTACTTCTAGCAAAGGTTAACTTTTGTTTTTTGGGTGACTGAGTGTTGTGTTTCAAATATTAGTTTGTTATATTCACTTTTCTATTGCATTATATTATGCAAGTGTAGTTGAGTTTTTATTTAAGGTTTCTTTATACTTTTACTGGCTTCAGAACTATGAACTCAACTTCCCAGACTCAAATGGTTCTCCCACTTCAGCTTCCTGATCTAATATTTGAATGATGTCAAGAACGCTGCATTCATTCCTCTCCACATGCACAATTGCCAAAAGTAGGCTTTATATTCTTGCTAGTTTTTTTTTGGGTCCGTGGCTAGTCTCCATTTCCTTTTTTTTTTTTTTTTTGATATGGAGTCTCACTCCGTCACCCAGGCTGGAGTGCAGTGGCCGGATCTTGGCTCACTGCAAGCTCCACCTCCTGGGTTTTATGCCATTCTCCTGCCTCAGCCTCCCGAGTAGCTGGGACTACAGGCATCTGCCACCTCGCCCGGCTAGTTTTTTTGTATTTTTTTGTAGTAGAGACGGGGTTTCACCAGATTTGGGCTTACTGCAACCTCTGCCTCCTAGGTTCAGGCGATTCTTGTGCTTCAGCCTCCTGAGTAGCTGGGATTACATGCATGTGCCCACCACAACTGGCTAATTTTTTGCATTTTTAGTAGAGACGGGGTTTTGCCATGTTGGTCAGCTTGGTCTCAAACACCTGACCTCAAAGTGATCCGCCCATTTGGGCCTCCCAAAGTGCTGGGGTTACAGGCCTGAGTTACTACACCTTCTTTTCTTCTTCTTCTTTCTTCTTCTTTTTCTTCTTCCTCTTCCTCCTCCTCTTCTTCCTTCTTCTTCCTCTTCTTCTTCCTCTTCTTTCTTCTTCTTCCTCTTCCTCTTATTCTTCTTTCTTCTTCTTCTTCCTCTTCTTCCTCTTTTTCTTCCTTCTTCTTCCTCTTCTTCTTTCTTCTTCCTCTTCTTTCTTCTTCCTCTTCTTCTTCTCCTTCTTCTTCTCCTTCTTCCTCTTCTTTCTTCTTCTTCCTCTTCTTCTTCTCCTTCTTCTTCCTCTTCTTCTTCTTCCTTCTTCTTCCTCTTCTTTCTTCCTCCTCTTCCTCCTCCTTCTTCTTCTCTTCTTCTTCTTTTTTTTTTTTTTGAGACGGAGTTTCGCTCTTGTTGCCCAGGCTAGAGTGCAATAGTGTGATCTCAGATCACTGCAACTTCCACCTCCCAGGTTCAAGCGATTCTCCTGCCTCAGCCTCTGGAGTAGCTGGGATTACAGGCATGTGCCACCATGCCTGGCTAAATTTTTTTGTATTTTTGGTAGAGATGGGGTTTCTCCATAATGGTCAGGCTGGTCTTAAACTCCCGACCTCAGGTGATCCACCTACCTCGGCCTCTCAAAGTGCTGGGATTACAGGCATGAGCCATAGTGCCCGGCCCCCCTTTCTTCATTTGCTCTATCCTCCCCCTGAGGACATTGCTTGCTTTCCTCTTTCTGTTTGCTCTCCCCACCTCTCATTCCATTGTGCCTTTCACCTGTGCTGCCCACTACCCCTCCTGTTGCTGTTGTCTCTCCTGGCTGCTGGTCACTCCATGCCAACATTTACTTTATTCCTTGAAGGTTTTTAGCTCCTGGAGCACTGTCTCCAGCATAACTCCTGTCATGAATCGACACCCTAGTTCCCCAGTTCCTTGACCTCAGCCTTGACTACCCCAGCCACTCACTTACCTGGTCTAACCCTAGGTCTTGTCATTGTCAATTGCCATAACCCCATCCACTTTGAGGGTCACACTCTCCAATCACCTCTACCATCCCTCCCTCTGCTACCCTTTGGTACCTGTCACCCCACTCCCCACCCCGTCAACCCACATCCCCAAAGTCCTTGGGCCCAGCTCTAACTAATCTAATTGCACCAACTCTAACAAACTGCACCTGTGCCACTGAGTGTAACTGGTGGAAGCTGACTGGGCTCACTTTTACCCTGGGCATGCTGGGGGAAAATAGACATCTACATTTGCTACCTGGGGTCCAATAGGTCTGCACTAGTGTGTTCTCATGCTGCTAATAAAAACATACCTGAGACTGGGTAATTTATAAAGAAAAAGAGGTTTAATGGACTCACAGCTCCACGTGTCTGGGGAAGCCTCACAATCATGGTGGAAGATGAAAGGCATGTCTTACATGGTGGAAAGCAAGAGACAACTTCTGCGGTGGAACTCCCCTTTATAAAACCATCAGATCTTGTGAGACTTATTCACTGTCATGAGAACAATATGGGAAAGTCCTGGCCCCATGATTCAATTACCTCCCACTGGGTCCCACCCATGACACGTGGGAATTATGGGAGCTACAATTCAAGATGAGACTTGGGTGGGGACACAGCCAAACCATATCATTTTGTTCTGGCCCCTCCCAAATCTCATGTTCTCACATTTCAAAACCTATCATGTCTTCCCAACAGTCTTCCAGAGTCTTATTTCAGCATTAACTAAAAAGTCTACAGTCCAAAGTCTCATCTGAGACAAGGCAAGTCCCTTCTGCCTACCAGCCTGTAAAATCAAAAGCAAGTTAGGGTCGGGCATGGTGGCTCACACCTGTGATTCCAGCACTTTGGGAGGCCAAGGCAGGCAGATCATCTGAGTTTGGGAGTTTAAGACTAGCCTGGCCAGCATAGTGAAACCCCATCTCTACCAAAAATACAAAACAATTAGCCAGGTGTGATGGCATGGGCCTGTAATCCCAGCTACTCGGGAAGCTGAAGCAGGAGAATTGCTTGAACTTAGGAGGCAGAGGTTGCAGTAAGCCAAGATCATGGCACTGCACTCCAGCCTGGGTGACAGAGTGAGACTTTGTCTCAAAAAAAAAAAAAAAAAAAAACAAGTTTGTTACTTGCTAGATACAATGGGAGTACAGGCACTGAGTAAATACAGCTGTTCAAAATGGGAGAAATTGGCCAAAACAAAGGGTTACAGACTCCCCTATGCAAGTCTGAAGTCCAGTGGAGCAATTAAAAAAAAAAAATTTTTTTTCTTTTTTGAGATGGAGTCTTGCTCTGTTGGCCAGGCTGGAGTGCAGTGGCACAATCTCGGCTCACTGCAACCTCCACCTCCCAGGATCAAGCAATTCTCCTGCCTCAGCTTCCTGAGTAGCTGGGATTACAGGCACATGCCACAATGCCTGGCTAATTTTTTTTTTTGTATTTTTAGTAGAGATGGAGTTTCACCATGTTGGCCAGGCTAGTCTTGAACTCCTGACCTCAAGTGACCCTCCCACCTCGGCCTCCCAAAGTGCTGGAATTACAGGAGTGAGCCACCGTGCCTGGCAGCAGTCAAACCTTAAAGCCCCAAAATGATTTCCTTTGACTCCATGTCTCATGCCCAGGTCACACTGATGCAAGAGATGGGCTCCCATGGCCTTGGCAGCTCTGCCCCTGTGACTTTGCAGGATATAGCCCACACTCCTGGCTGCTTTCACAGGCTGGCCTTGAGTGTCTGTGGCTTTTCCAGGAGCAAGGTGCAAGCTGTCAGTGGATCTACCATTCTGGGGTCTGGAGGACAGTGACCCTTTTCTTGCAGTTGCAGCTCCACTAGGCATTGCCCCAGTTGGGAGTCTGTGTCAGGGCTTGCACCCCACAATATCCTTTCACACCGCCCTGGCAGTCCTTCTCCATGAGGGCTCCACCCCTGCAGCACACCTCTACCTGGACATCCAGTCATTTCCACACATCCTCTGAAATCTTGGCAGAGGTTCCCAAGCCTCAGTTCTTGACTTCTGTACACTCGCAGGCACAACACCACATGAAAGCTGCCATGGCCTAGGGTTTGCACCCTCTGAAGTCACAGCCTGAGGTGTACCTAGGCCCCTTTTAGTCATGGTTGGAGCAGCTGGGATAGAAGGGACAAAGTCCCCAGGCTGCACAGAGCAGGGGGGCCCTGGGCACAGCCCATGCAACCATTTTTTCCTCCTAGGCCTCTGAGCCTGTGATAGGAGGGTCTGCCACAGGAAGGTCTCTGACATACCCTGGAGAAACTTCCCCCCATTGTCTTCATGATTAACTTCATGACTCTTAGTTACTTATGCAAATTTCTGAGGCCAGCCTGAATTTCTCCTCAGATTTTTTTTTTTTTTTTTTTCTTTTTTTGAGATGGAGTCTTGCTCTGTTGCCAGGCTGGAGTGCACTGGCACAATCTCAGCTCATTGCAACCTCCACCTCCCAGCTTCAAGCAATTCTCCTGTCTCAGGCTCCCGAGTAGCTGGGACTACAGGGGTGTACCACAACGCCCAGCTAATTTTTGTATTTTCAGTAGAGACCGGGTTTCACCAGGTTGGACAGGATGGTCTCAATCTCTTGACTTTGTGATCTGCCTGCCTCAGCCTCCCAAAGTACTGGGATTACAGGCATGAGGCACTGCACCCGGCCTGGGTTTTTCTTTTCTACTGCATTGCAGGCTGCAAATTTTTTGAAATCGTATACTTATTTTAACGTGTTTTTTTTTTTTTTTTTTTTTGAGACAGAGTCTCGCTCTGTCGCCCAAGTTGGAGTGCAGTGGCACCATCTTGGCTCACTGCAAGCTCCAACTCCCAGGTTCACGACATTCTCCCACCTCAGCCTCCCGAGTAGTTGGAACTACAGGCACCCACTACCACGCTCAGCTAATTTTTTGTATTTTTAGTAGAGACGGG